TTCACAAAAATATTATTATTATTATTATTATTATTATTATATATATATATAGCCATATAGGCATGTCAGGATGCACTTGTACTAAATTGCTTTCTTTTTTTTTTTTATAAATTACAAGTAGTTTCTCGAAAATCAAATAATCATTTTTTTAATTACATTTTTTTCGAAAAAAAAAAACTTCTTCATGTGACTGTAATGATATATATATATATAAACGTAATTCATTTGATGTGGTGTGGCCTATCACTTCACTATCAGAGTATCAGTACTTCCAAAATTTGGTTCCCACGCCATGGATGGACGCAATAGTATCTTCTAGAATAATTTTTTCTCTTTTTCAGACAATTTTTTTTCTCTCTCACAAAATAATTATATATATATTAAATGTATAGTATTTTGATGTGATAATACATAACTTACATTTACAGTATCAATTTTATTTTTTAAAAACAAAACACAATTTTGTTGGGCCAGCCCATAGTAGGCTTAGACGGGCCCATCTGGGCCGGCCCATTGTGGGCTTAGATGGGCTTGTTGGGACGGGCCATTATGGGCTTAGATAGACAGGGCTGGGCCGGCCCATCATGGGCCTAAACGGGCCGGCCCAGCCTGGCCCATAATTTTCCACGGCCCGGGCCGGGCCAGCCCATGGGCCAATATAGGTTGGCCCAGCCCAGCCCACTAATATTTATGGGCTAGGCCGTGCCTTGAACAGTGTTGTGCCGTGCCGGCCCGACCTGTCATTATATCAGGATGGGCCCGGGCCGGCCCACGGGCTCCGGCCCATTGTTGCATCTCTAGCTCTATCCAGTCTATTTTTTAACGTTTTCATCATGGAAGTGTCATCAATGGATTGTGTTAAGCTCGAGTGCAATGGTGTGTTACTTAAAAATTTAAGGGTAAAATAAAATAACTAATATTTTTCGGGTTAAAATTAAAATTGTCTCATAGTCTCTTTATAATCTTTATTATTTTTCATAAATCTTAAAAAAAAATATGTACGAAATATCCTTTCGATTAATTAAAACTCGGGGGCCTATTGTATTTCTATGAAATTTTTACTCTTAAAAAATATATATATATATACTTGACCGACGACAAGGAATGAGGGTGCACACTAACTATCATATACCCGGGTGATAAGAAGTCAAACCCTATCAAAGATCGCATTATGACCGTCGGATCATTTTGTCACAGCTGCTTTGTATCGGACCGAAGCTATTTCTCTTTCCATTTACATTGCGCCGCAGCCACTTCTTCTTCTCCCTCTCTCTCGCTCGCTCTCTGCAGCCTTCGCCAACCCTTAGTAATCTTGATTTTTCTAGCCCTCGCTTCGCCATTCCTTCTTCGGCCAACAATGGTACTTTCTCTCACTTTCCCACACTTTCTCGCTCTTTTTTCCATCCTCTGAGAAAAATTATCGATTTGATTGTTTCATTTTCGCTTTCTCGTTTTGTTTTCGCAGCCAGGAGAGGAAGTTAACCCTAAGGCGTATCCTCTGGCCGATGCGCAGCTCACGATCACCATTCTCGACCTTGTCCAGCAAGGCGCTAATTACAAGCAGATCAAGAAAGGAGCCAATGAAGGTTCGATTTTTAACTCTTTTTTTTTTTGGTTGCGATTTACACTTCTTCTTATTGATTATCTTTTTTTTTTCTTTATTCTTTTTGTTGTTAATTTGTTTTTTGGGTTATATATATATATATATATATATTTTTTTTTTTTTCTTGGTTTGGATTTCAGCGACAAAGACTCTGAACAGGGGTATCTCAGAGTTCGTTGTGTTGGCAGCGGACACTGAGCCGCTTGAGATCCTTCTACATCTTCCCCTGTTGGCTGAGGACAAGGTAAATCTTGTTTTCTTTTACTCTTTCTTTGGATTTTGAATTTATTGTAACGTTTCTTTTTTTGTTTTTTTTTGGGTCATTACATTTTATTATCATAAATAAAGATTGATATAAATCATGACAAAAGTAGTTTCATCACGCATGATGGAACTGAAATATAAGTTTCAAGTTTGAAAAAAATGGTCATTTCAGTTTTACGGAATTTACATTGAATTTGACGCGCGGGCAATGTTCATGTTAAAAAAAAAAATTCATCATGTGTTAGAGGAAAAGGAATTTGTGTTGTACTACGTTGGCTGACTTTGTAGGTTCATACAATACTATTTTTAGATTAATATCTTTTGAGTGAAATCTGATTTCATGTTATGACTAGTTCTTAGTGTTAATTTAACAACCAGAGCTACAAAAAGCCTGATATGAAGTTAACTTTATAAACAAGTTGTGTAATGAAATTAGTTTAGGTTAATTGGCTTTGTAGACCTAACATTTTGAACTTTGATTTTAGACTCTTTTGATCCGTTGCTGTTCAATGTTTTTTAGTACATGCTATATTGATTGTTGAAACTGTTTTTTGTTAGTTATATAAAAACTGTGCATATGATAGTTGTTTGCACTAATCACTGATTTTGTGGAACGTTCTAGAATGTTCCATATGTTTTTGTCCCGTCCAAGCAAGCGCTTGGCAGAGCATGTGGTGTCACTAGACCTGTCATTGCCTGTTCTGTGACAACTAATGAGGGAAGCCAATTGAAGTCTCAAATACATCAACTTAAGGTAATTTTCAATTTGGCCTTTTCAGTATTTCTTATAGGTGATTTTTATCTTATGTTGCCACTTTTGTGGTATTCTTGTCTTAATTCTAAGATGCTTTACTATAAAATGCAGGATGCCATTGAGAAGCTCCTGATCTAGACTGTTAAGACTGCTAAATTCAGTGTGATGGGCCTCTTCGATCATAGCAGTCGCATCTCTAGAGGCTTTGACTGATGAACTTGTGCCATTAGAAAGATGTTTTTCTGTTGAATTCTGAAAATTTTTATTTATGGGATGCAAGAAAGAATACTCAAAAATTATATTTGCATTTGTCAAGATGAATGATGTTGATGTTGTAAGCTTTATAAGCCACTAGATTAATGTGATTTGTTCTCTTAATGTCGTTTTTGTTTCAATATTGTTATGAGAGTAGAGCTCGTGTGAAGTATGCTTACACTGAAATCTAGGGACTAGTTTTATATGGATAATGAAATCAATTAGCGTTTAACTGTGAACTATGATAATTATAGTCCTCTCTTTCCCTGTTAGAATATATCACGTGAGAGCGTTTTTAAAAGCTTTAGTGATTTTCATTTTTGTTTTAGTTATGGCTAAAGAAGTAAGATCTTGTGTTCAAATTGAGTGCGTGTGTCTCTTGCAGAGTGCTTGTTTAGTGACATACTGAAAGTGGTTCAGTATTACCTGTTATGAAGAGTACACAAGGATCAGGGAATTTGCACAAGAAATGAAACATAATACCTTTTTTTTTCCCTGCTAAGAAATGCATTATGGTAGCTAGTTTTGGTAAAAACTTGACTTGCCTGCAACCTCTCCTATATTCTGCTTGCATGTTGCAAGATGATTTTTTATGAAAATATCCGATTCAGCTAAATATGATTGCTTCAATAAATGCGCGTCTAAATATCAAAATTTCAAGCCTTTCTATCATTGAGATAACAGGTTCGAATACCATAATGTAGTTTTCGCCATAATTTTTCGTTGCTTGAATATATTTGTGGGGTAGATGAATAGCTATATTGCACAGGCATGAAGAATCCAGTTTTGCTTGGATTGAATGGATAATAGATACACTTCATTTGTTCCAAGTTTAGGAGCTCCAATTGTTTGTGATCTGTTACAGCTTAGTGGTTTTTCCTCTTGGAAATGGGTCTCCTCTTAGATGGAAAATCTGTTTTCTTTCAAACCTGATTTGGAAAAAAGGGAAATCTTGATGACTGGCCTCTTCTAAGTGACGATAAAGATTTATGTTATTTCTCAAGTATTATTATAAGATTTTTGCCCTCAGTTTCCCCCTTTAACTTAAGAAAGGCCGAATAAGAGGATACAAACTAAATAGGTGAGTTAGGGGCCCCAATTTTCTTCTTGCTTTAAAGTAGTTAGTCCCATTTGGTTTGCTGGTCCGAAATGTGTTGATTTAAGCATTTTTGTTTGTACTGGAAAAATTGAACTGTGTAGTTCAAATTGTAATATGAACAAGCGTTTGATTGTACAGTTAAAGTGTAAATGGAACATGAAATAAATCTGAATTTGTGTTTTGATAGGTGTGCAGAACAGAGAGAATGAACATATTTATATATACTGCTAAAAAATAGTTTGAAAAGTTGAAATGGAAGGGGGGTAATTCTGAGTTGGATAGGAATAAATTCCGGGCTTGGCGGTTGCCAAACACTATGTTGAATTTGGTCCTTCTCTCGGACTTAAAAAATCCAGTCGGAAGTTAGGCCGACTATTGATTTGTGAAACAATAACTGCTCGAGTTCTGTTTTACCAACTAATGAAGCAAATGAATCATCTAACTAGTAACATTCCACTAACCAGCAATTCTTATGACTATGTACTGCAACCAAAAAAAAAAAAAAAGAAAAAAAGAAAGAGTTACTATAGAATATGAGATGAAGAAAACAAACAGAACAAAACGAAAAATGCTTCAATCTTTGGCGTGTCAAGATGCGAACATGATTTACACGTATCAACTTTATCGTACCTTAGCTTACTAACAAGTTTCAATTTTTGGCGTGTCAAGATGCGAGCCCTATTAGTTCAGCAAGGGTTGCTTAAGGCGCTAAACGGCAATGAGCCTTTACTGGCAACGTTGTCAGATGATGCGAAAGAATACCTCTTAGAGAGGGCACACGGTGCTATTCAGTTGTTGTTGGCAGACGAGGTGTTGCGCGAGGTTATTGACGAGACTACTGCTGCTGGCTCGTGGCTTAAGCTTGAAAGTCTGTATATGACTAAGTCTCTCACCAATCGGCTCTAAGAAGGTACATCTATTCAAAGTCATCTTGATGAATTTAATAGAATTATTTTGGATTTAAAGAATATTGATGTGAAAATTGATGATGATGATCATGCATTAATTTTGTTGTGTTCTTTACCTCATATGAGCACTTTGTTGATACTATGTTATATGGTAGAGACACTATTTCTTTAGAAGATATTAAGGCATCTTTGAATTCTAAAGAACTAAAGAAAAAGGTGTGAAAATTGGGATGAAAATCAATCAGGTGCATTGATTGTTAAAGGTAGATAAATTGAAAAAGGAAAAAATAAAAATAGAGGAAAGTCTAAAAATAGAAAAGGCAACTACAATTATTGTCGCCAACTAGGGCATTGGAAAGTTGATTGCCCAAAGCTCAAGGGAAACAAGAAAACTGGTGAAGAAGCATCAGCTAATATTGTTGAGTATTTTGAAGATGATAATTTTGTCCTATTTGTGTCTAGTGATTGCGTCGACAATTATTGGATTCTTGATTCTGGATGTTCTCAACATATGTGCCCTAACAGAGATTGGTTTATTAACTACCAGTCTATTGATGTGGGTGTTGTCTTTATGGGAAATAATATGTCCTGTAGAGTTGTGGGTGTTGTCTTTATGGGAAATAATATGTCCTGTAGAGTTGTGGGTGTTGTCTTTATGGGAAATAGAGTTGTTGGTGTTAGAATAGTCAAAATTAAGATGTTTGATGGCAGAGTTACGACTTTGACTGATGTTAGGCATGTGCCATATTTGAAGAAAAGTCTTGTTTCTTTGGGGACTCTCGACTCACAAGATTATAGGTATTCTGCTGAAGGTGGAGTTCTGAGAGTTAGTAAGGGAGCTTCTATGGTGATTAAGAGAGAGTTGCATAATGGCCTTTATTTTCTACAGGGTAGTATAATTGTGGGTACTACTGCGGTCTCATCTTGCTTAGATTCATATTTTAGGATCACTCATTCATGGCATTTGCATTCGGGTCATATGAGTGATGTAGGGATGCCAATTTTGATGTTTGTTGAGGACTATGATGGTGTGCAATTTGGTGAGAGTTACGGGTTCTGCGAGAAGAAGATAGTGAGACACCGCACTATTTAGAATTTACCACAACGGTTGTTAGTCACAAATAGTATGAATTCAGCTCTCTTGGGGAAAGCTTGTTGTTTGCTTTCTACGTTTGGTTTTCCAGCCTGCTATTTGGTTAGATCTCCATCAACTGTATTTTGATTGAAGACTTCGTTTGAGGTATGGTTTGGTTGCTCTGTTGATTTTTTTTGAGATTTGGTTGTTCTGTTTGTGCTCATGTGAATGATGGTAAGCTTGAGTGAAGGACAAAAACATTCCTAGGATTTGAGTTTGGGGTGAACGGCTATTGGTTGTGGTTTGTTGAGCCAAAGTCACCATGTTTGGTAATTCACAGCGTTGATGATTTTGTCATCCTATTTGAAGACAGAGAGTTAGTAGTTACAGATAAAGATTCCTGTGTTCTTGAGTAAGTGGAGCTTGATAATCTAATTTGTATTGTATTAATTGTGACAAGTTCGGTGATCAAGTTAGTTGCCGTTTGAAAGTTCAGACATCTTGGACTTATTTGGTGTTGCAAATTGGAATTAGCTCTACGAGGTTTTGGATGAGATGACGAAGGTTATTTGGGTTTGGCTTAATTTTCACTAAGGTAGAGATTGTTGCGAGTGGCTTTAAATTAAGCCCAATATATTGTCTGTTGTTATTGGGTCTAGGGCCCATGTATTTCTCATTTACCTAATAGGAGTCTGCCGAACTTGCTGTGACTAAGCCTTGAAGAAGTGTGTGTGTGTGTGTATATATATGCTTATATTAAGAACGTCAAGTAAGAATGTATAGAGCAGGCGCATGTTTGGTTATCCCATTCATATACAGTTGTCTCTCTTTTGTTTCTTTTGAGTGTGATTTAATCAGAGAATTTAATTCTTTAATATTTGGTATTCTTAGTTGAGAGATTTTAGGTGTATTTAAGATTTGGGTGGTGCCTGATTTTTGATTGATTTTTATAATCTCATTTGATTATAGTGGAATTTCTTTGCCGTTTCTGTTCGTAGATGTGGACCAAAAGCCGAACCATACTAAATTTTTTTGTCTCTTGAATTTTTCTGTTATTCATATTTGTTTTGAATTCGTTTAATTTGAAATGGCCGAAAAAAAGTGACAGCAGATCCCAGCGGCAGGAAAAGGTCTACTGGTTCTGAAGAACGCGGAAGTGAAGAAGTCTTGAAAAATTTAGGGAATTGAGGTAAATTTCCATATGCAGGTGAAATTATTCATTGAATTGTAGTAAGTATATACGTAAATTTACTGATTATTCATGGCCATATCCGAAAAGTGTAAGTGGCCGTTAATTGTAGCTGCAAATTGGTTGAAATTCTGATAGACGAAAGAGATGCATAGTGGATGAGCTTAATTAGGTTGTTAACCTATGATGAATAAGAATGTAAAAAGTAATGATATGATGGGTGGTTTTGTACAGAGATAGAGAATCAACAGGTGTGAGTAGCCGAAATAAGATCTAGTGTTAATTGAGGCTCCATTCATTTCGCGATTCGAGTTTAGAATTCGAGTTTTACTATAGTAAAAAATTCTCAAAAATAGTCACATCTAACTTTTTTGCTACAGTAGAAAACTCTCACACAAAATTACATCTCAACTCAAATTACAAACTCGAATCAGCGAAATAAACGGGCCCTGTCAGTTAGAGAAACTGTAGGTTTGATCGGCGAGGTTATGTCAAATGAAGACAATGAAATGCAACAAAGGGACCGTGAAACTGGAGAAGGCCTATTTGCGGTTACAGGAGATGTCGACAAAATAGTTAGGGGTTTAGAAGATGCAAATATGCAACGGAGGAGCGATGTCGTCGGGCTTGATGAACTGGTGGACGACTTTTTAAAGGAACGGAAAATGAAGGAATTAAATGAAGTTGTGGCACGTTGTAAGGCAACCATGCCGATGAAGGTTTTGAAAGATGGTGCAGACTATCCTTGATTCCGTTAAAAAAAAAAAAAAAAGAAGATCCTTGATTACTTACAATTAAAAAATTATGAAATTAATCCTCCAAACATCTCTTCTGTAGTAATTAGAAACCCATGTAATATATTAGCCACT